TGTAGGTGCAAATCAGATCAAGTCATTTCACTTCCTTTCAATGGTTTCTCCCACCTTCTAGAAGAAGTCCAAACTGCTAAACAAAGGCTCAGGTGGTTCTCCAGCCTTATTTCCTCCCTCCTCCCCTAGTCAAAGCCCCAGCAGGACTGATGCCCCTTCCCACCAGAGGCCAGGAAAGCTTCATCTTCCACTCCTCTCTCCCTTACCTCTTAGTGGTCAAGTCCTGTTGAGTCTCCTTCTGAAATGTCTCTCAAATCTGCCCTCTCCTTTCCCTTCCTGCTGCCACTGCCCTTTTTTACCCTTATTTCCCCAGCCCCCTAAAGAAGATATTTCCTGATTATGAAGGCAATTCATGCTCATAAAAAAGGAAAATTAAGGCAATGAGGAACAGAATAAAAGTTTCCCCATGATCTCATAAACAGCTTACCTTTTAGTACACTTATGTTTCACTGCAGTATTATTCACAACAGCCAAAAGATGGAAGCAACTCAAAGTGACCATCAATGAATGGATAAACAAAGTGTGGTATAAACATGCAATGGAATATTATTCAGCCTTACAAAAAGAATGAAATTCTGACACATGCTACACAACAAGGATGAACCTTGAGGACAGGATGCAAGATTCCACTAACACAATGTATCTAGAGTAACCAAACACATAGAAAACAAAAGTAGAATGGGTGCTGCTAAAGGCTGGTGGGGAGGGGGAAATGGGGAACTAAACCTCTTAAAGGTATAGTTTGCCTTTTGCACTTTTGCAAGATGAAAAAGTTGTGCAGATTGGTTGCACGGCATGAATACACTTAACACTACAAAACTTTACACCTAAAAATAGTTAAGATGGTAAATTTTATCACAATTAAAGATTTAACATTTTTAAAAAGAACTAGTATTTCCAGACATTTTTATTATAAACATGTATACATTAAAAAAAACCAGGAACATACTGTACTGTAATCTGCTTTTTACACCTAACCATATCATGTAAACATCTTTCTAATATATATAGCTCCCACCTAATTGTCTTTTTTTTTTTTTTTTTTTTTGAGATGGAGTTTTGCTCTTGTCACCCAGGCTGGAGTGCAATGGTGCAATCTCAGTTCACTGCAACCTCTGCCTCCCAGGTTGAAGGGAGTTTCCTGCCTCAGTTTCCCAAGTAGCTGGGATTACAGGCGTGCATCACTACACCCAGTTAATTTTTGTATTTTTAGCAGAGATGGGGTTTCACCCTGTTGACCAGGGTAGTCTCAAACTCCTCACCTCAGATGATCCGCCCGCCTTGGCCTCCCAAAGTGCTGGGATTACAGGTGTGAGCCACCATGCCGGGCCAATTTTTCAATTTTATAAAAACATGAAAGTCAATATCTTATGATGTCTTATGACAGACACCTCTTTTTTTTAACCTACCCTTCTCCAGTACCAATACTCTGATGTTCCCATGGGAAAGCTACTTTACCTTACTCATCCTGTCCTCCCATCCCCATGCCCAGCCAACTCTTACTCTGTGTGGCTAGGCCAGGTACATGTATTTTTAAGTTTATTTCTAAGTATTTATTTTTCATGTTGCTATTGTCAGTTCTCCTACAATTACCTTTTCTATTTTTGGTTGCATAAAGCTATTGCTTTTTGTCTATCTTATAACTGCTGTTCACTTAGCCTTATTATATCTAAGTATTTTTAACTTAATTCTTTTGAATTTTTTCAGCAGACAATCATATCACAGGTAGAGATTTATATCATCCAGGCAGTGGTTAAGAGTAAAAGCTCTGGGTCTTCAGGTAAACCTAGATTCAAATACTGTGTGAACCTGAGTGAGCATTCTACCCCAGTTTCTTTATCCATAAACTTGCAATTATTAGAGGGCCTATCTCACAGGGTTGTTGTAAACATCACATTATTCATCAAGAACAGTGCATGAGCCGGGCGCAGTGGCTCATGCCTGTAATCCTAGCACCTTGGGAGGCCGACATGAGTGGATCACTTGAGGTCTGGAGTTCGAGACCAGCCTGGCCAACATGGCAAAATCCCATCTCTACTAAAAATACAAAAATTAGCTGAGTGTGGTGGCTCACACCTGTATTCCCAGCTACTTGGGGGGCTGAGGCAGGAGGATCGCTTGAGCACAGGAGGCAGAGGCTTCAGTGAGCCAAGATTGCACCACTACACTCCAGCATGGGTGACAGAGTGATACCCTGTCTCAAAAAAAAAAAAAAAAAAAAAGAAAGAAAAAAAAGTGCATGAAAAGTACTTAACACAATACTAGTTCAATAAATGCCTGCTATCTGCCGATAATGAAAATTGTGACTTGCCTTCCACACTTATACCTTTATTTTTGTTGCATCACACTGGTGCACTCCTTTCAGGAATAACCTGGCTTCCCACGTCTCCAAAAAGTAACAGGCATCAGACTCCTATTGAAGGATCTGTACTGTGGAACTCCGCTACTCCCACCTTCTCAGGAAAGTTATACTATCAATTCTCTCCTTCATATCCTGTATCTTCTCACCCTTTCCCTCTCTACTGGCTCTTTGCCAACAGCATTTAATCTCTCATGCTCAAAAAAACTTCACCTATTCCCCAATCGCTCCCCAGCCTTCTCTCTACCTCCCTTCGCAGCCAAACTTCTCTGAGCTGCCTACACTTTGTCTTTCTCACATCCCACTCTTAACTCATCCCACTGATACATTATATTGAACCTTTGAAAGCTGCTGATATTATAGATTCCGCCCCAACCATTTCACCAAATCTGCTCAATGAGGTCCCAACTGACCTCCATATTTATTTACCCAAAAAGACACATTTTAATTTTTAACTTGTATTACTCAGACATCTCAGCAACATCTACAAAGGCCAACCTCTTCCTTTGGACTTCATTACTATACTTTGCTGGTTTCTCTCCTGTTCCTGTTTCTCTAGCCATTTCTTTTAGCGTAGCCTAAGTGCATGACTCTTTCTTTCAAGAGAATGCAACGCAGTAGCCCTGAATAATCTCAGCCTTTTTTTTTTTTTAACCTCTCTAGATAGATCTCTTTCAATATTGATCTTTAACTTCCAGTTGTAGTGGACTGCTTTTGGCTCCATGAATGTACTTTTGAATATGTCTGGAATATCCCCACGATAGCTAACTCAGACTACACCCTCTAGACATTTTATCAAAACCCTACCTGAATCTCCAAACTACGCTAGATTGACCTTAACATGCGCCCCCTTTCACAGTTCTCCTCACAATTATAATCACTTGTTTGATGCATATTTTCTTCACCAATCTGTGATCTCCTTGAGGGCAGGGACCTGCTTCCTTACTACCTACACGGTGCCTTGCACATAGAAGATGCTCATTAAATATTTTTTAATTAGCCAGGCACAGTGGTGTGCACCTGCAGTCTCAGCTACGTGGGAAGCTGAGACAGGAGGATCACTTGAGCCCAGGAATCTGAGACCAGCATGGGCAACGCAGTGAGACCTCATCTCAAAAATAAATACATACACGCACACACAGTCACACACACACATATATATGAATCACCACAAATGAATGCCTGCAAAGTGAAAAACAGATGGGAGGAATGATAAGACCAAGAGAGAGCCAGGCGCAGTGGCTCATGCCTGTAATCCCAGCACTTTGGGAGGCTGAGGCGGATGGATCATGAGGTCAGGAGATCGAGACCATCCTGACTAACACGGTGAAACCCCGTCTCTACTAAAAATACAAAAAATGAGCCGGGCGTGGTGGCAGACGCCTGTAGTCCCAGTTACTCGGGAGGCTGAGGCAGGAGAATGGTGTGAACACGGGAGGTGGAGCTTGCAGTGAGCAGAGATCGCGCCACGGCACTACAGCCTGGGCGACAGAGCAAGAGTCTCAAAAAAAAAAAAAAAAAAGACCAAGAGAGGAACACAAAAAACTGATCTTTCTGAAATCATACCTCTGATCAAAAACACACACCTCTGGCTTAAAACCCTTTGATGGCCTCCCACTGCCCCCAAGATAAAGCCCAAACTCCTCCACACTTACGAAGAGTCTTCAGGAGGAGCACCTGCTTGTCTCTCAAACACCATCTAGCCAGACCCCCTCCAACTCTCATAATCTGCTCTCCAGCTAGCCTGAAATCCTTGCAGATTCCCAAGAAGTCTGCACTCTCTCCCCAAGGCTTTGCACACACTGCTTTCTCTACCTACAGCAAGGTACACTCCACCAGCCTCATCTTCTGGTCAACATAAAGGCAGCCTTCTTGTCTCATTTTGGAAGTCGCCTTCTTTTGGCATCTCTCCCTGATCATCCACACTAACCTCACCTCCAGAAACCCAGGTTAAACTGTTTTCTCTGTGCATTCACAGTCCCTCTGCACGTCCAAAATCATAACCGGAATCACTGTGAATTCTTGTTTACGGGTCTGTCTCCTCCGGAAAACTGTGGAGTTCCCTCAGGACACGATGTCTCTTGTTCACTTTTTTACCCTGGCTATCAGCCCGGGCCCTGACTCACAATAAATGCTCAATGATGGTCTTCGTTGTAGTAGAATAATAAAAGCTCCCAAGTATTGAGGACTTACCTCCACGAATTTCAAATATAAATTTACCTTGTAATAACGTCATCAGACAGGTGCTACCATGATTCCCATTTTGCAGACGATAAAACTGACGCACAAAGAAGTCAATCCTCTCTGGCCCCAGAACAGTCGCACACACAAATACATTTTCTGCACAGTTTCGAGTTATTTTCCGGCCCCCAAATAAGAAGGGATTTTTTTTTAAGAAACTTTCGAATGAGGTTTACCAATGGCTACAAATAAAATAAACAGCCGAAAACGGACTCTCCCTGAACGCTGGGCGGGGTCAAAGGGCGTCGGGGGCTCAGTCCCCGGCGTGGCTGAGGGACAAAGATCGGACCGCAGCCTCCCTCCCCGAGGTCCCCGGCGGCTCAGCCCCTCGCCCCCTGCGAGGAGTCGACGCCAGGCCCGGAGCGTTGGGGCCGCAACCGGGCGCCCAGCTCCTGCTCACCTGCGGTCTCGCCGCCTCGCAGTGCCTGGGCCGCCGGCCCGCAGCGCCTCCCCGGGGCAGCCTAGCGCCAGCAGCCCGCAACCCGCAGCGCAGCCCGTTGCCTTGGCGACCTGGGCTGCCGAACTCCCGCGGCACTCGCGCTACGGCGGCTCGGATGGGACCAGGACGGTTCGCGTCCCTTTCCGCAGCCGCGGAGGGGGCAGAGGAGGGACGAGGTGAGGGACGAGGTGGGAGTCGAGGGACGAGGTGGGAGTCGAGGGCTGAGCTGCGAAGGAGGGATCCGGGTTGGAAGTAGGCCCGGGGAAGAGAAGGAAAGGGGGACAGTGAGGCCAGGGGGAGGTCTTGGGCCGCGAGTACTGCTTGTGCCTCAGTTTATCTCTTTGCAACCTCAGATGGGGACCGTGCGAGGAGGAAACGGAGCCTGAGGTGGTGGCTTGATAGACTGAGTTTTTGTTTTTTTGTTTTTGTTTCGAGACAGAATCTCACTCTGTCGCCCAGGCTGGAGTGCAGTGGCGCAATCTCCGCTCACTGCAACCTCTGCCCGCTGGATTCGAGCGATTCTCATGCGTCAGTCTCCCGAGTAGCTGGGATTACAGGCAGGTGCCACCACGCCCGGCTAATTTTTGTATTTTTAGGAGAGACAAGGTTTCACCATGTTGGCCAGTCTGGTCTCGAACTCCGACCTCAGCTGATCCATCCGCCTGGGCCTCCCAAAATGCTGGGATTACAGGCGTGAGCCACCACTCCCTGCCAAGACTGGGAATATTTGAAGACAAGAAAACTCATGTGGGAGGGGTGGCAGATTCCTCTCTTTTATAGTCTGAAGGGGTGGTGTGTCAAAGAGTGATTAAATTGGTTTCTTTGATGGAGAATTAGATCATCAGATTTAACTTCAATCTGAGGAATAATTTATTTTTCCTTGTGTCAAGCAATCACACTTCTTGGAATAACTGCAGAAATGCTGAAACCCGAGCACAAAGGATATATTCATTACTTCATTTTTGTAAAAGCAAAAGAGTTGCGACCAGTCAAAATACCAAGGGCTGGGCTCGATGGCTCACACCTGTCATCCTGAAACTGCCTTTGCGAAGAATAATAACTGAGATAGCAGACCTAATTGACCCTGTCTTGCTTCTAACCCCTAAACTGTCCTGTTCATTCCTGGGTATAGGCTAAAGTAACTTTTTTTTTTTTTTTTTGAGACGGAGTTTCACTCTTGTTGCCCAGGCTGGAGTGCACGGCACCAACTTGGCTCACCACAACGTGCACCTCCGAGTTCAATTGATTCTCCTGCCTCAGCCTTCTGAGTAGCTGGAATTACAAACATGCACCACCACGCCCAGCTTATTTTTTGTATTTGTAGTAGAGACGGGGTTTCTCCATGTTGGTCAGGCTGGTCTGAAACTCCCCGCCTCAGGTGATCGGCCCGCCTCGGCCTCCCAGAGTTTCAGGTGATCCGCCCGCCTCGGCCTCCCAGAGTGCTGGGATTATAGGTGTGAGCCACTGCGCCCAGCCAGGCCAAACTAGCTTTGGGAAAGAATTTAGTGTATCGTTTAAATAATAGCCCTTTCCAGAAAGCCAAACTGTTGCTGTAAAACAAATGAAAGGCCACAGGCCACCAGCCACCAAGCCAAAATGAGAAGGGCTGGAGTTCTAAATACCTGTCATTATTCTTATTCTAGAGGTCATAAGATTTTTCTATTTTAATTTTTTGAGACAGTGTCTTGCTCTGTCGCCCAGGCTGGAGTGCAATGGCACGACCTTGGTTCGTTGCAATCTCTGCTTCGCAGGTTCAAGCAATTCTCATGCCTCAGCCTCCCCAGTAGCTGAGATTACAGGGACCTGCCACCATGCTGGCTAATTTTTGTATTTTTAGTAGAGACGGCGTTTTGCCATGTTGGCCAGGCTGGTCTTGAACCCCTGACCTCAAGTGATCCGCCTGCCTCAGCCTGCCAAAGTGCTAGGATCACAGACGTGAGCCACTGTGCCTGGCCCCCAATTACTTTTGAGGTAAAATCACTGCTGTGAACCTAAGATGAGCCTTTTGATATGTCTTTTCAGGTTTTTGCATTTCTAACAACCAGATGTCCACACTGGACCTGCCAACCAATTCTGTGGCCCCCATCCAGGAACTGACTCAGCAGAAGAGAACAGCTTTGACTCTGCAATTTTTTTTTTTTTTTTTTTTGAGACAGAGTTTTGCTCTGTCGCCCAGGCTGGAGTGCAGTGGTGTGATCTCAGCTCACTGCAAGCTATGACTCCCGTGTTCACACCATTCTCCTGCCTCAGCCTCCCGAGTAGGTGGGACTACAGGCGCCCACCACCACTCCTGGCTAATTTTTTGTATTTTTAGTAGAGACGGAGTTTCACCGTGTTAGCCAGGATGGTCTCGATCTCCTGACCTCGTGATCCACCCGCCTTGGCCTCCCAAAGTGTTGGCATTACAAGCGTGAGCCACCGCGCCCAGCACCTCTCTGCAATTTCATCCTCCAGCCGAGCAATCAGCACTCCCGATTCATTGGCCCCCTACCCACCAAATTATCCTTAAAAACTCTGATCCTTGAGTTTTCAGGGAGGATGATTTGAGTAATAACAAAACTCAGGGCTCCCGCACAGCAGGCTCTGTGTGAATTACTTTGTCTTTTGTAATTCCCCCTTCTTGATTAGTCGGCTCTGTCTAGGCAGCGTGCAAGGTGAACCCCTTGGGCAGTTACAATCCCAGCACTTTGGTAGGCTAAGGCGGGCAGATTGCTTGAGCCCAGGAGTTCAAGACCAGCCTGGGCAACGTAGTGAGACCTTGCCTCTACAAAAAAATAAAGAACTTAGCCAGGTGTGGTGGTGTGCACCTGTAGTCCCAGCTACTCGGGAGGCTGAGGTGGGAGGATCCCTTGAGCCTAAGAGGCGGAGGTTGCAGTCAGCAGAGACTGTGCCACTGCACTCCAGCCTGAGTGACAGAGGGACACCCTGTCTCAAAAAAAAAAAAAAAGCTGGGCACGGTGGTTCACGCCTGTAATCCCAGCACTTTGGGAGGCCAAGGCAGGCAGATCATGAGGTCAGGAGACCAAGACCATCCTGGCCAATGTGGTGAAGCCCTGTCTCTACTAAAAATACAAAAATTAGCCAGACATGGCAGCACACTCCTGTAGTCCCATCTACTTGGGAGACTGAGGCAGGAGAATTGCTTAAACCTGGGAGGCAGAGGCTGCAGTGAGCCGAGATCACACCACTGCACCCCAGCCTATAAGACAGAGCGAGACTCCTGTCTCAAACAAACAAACAAACAAAAAGTCTATCCTTAGGGAATTGAGGAAATAAATTATGATACAACCATAAAATAAAATAGATTACCATAGCAAGAATTAAGACTGACCAAGGTAGATATAGATGTAGATACAGTTTAGATACAGAGCTGTCTTCAAGCTATGTAACCAGCCAGTGGGTTTACCTTGCCTGCTACCTAGACAGAGGGGACTTACCAAGACGGGAGTTGCAATAAAGAGTAACTCACACAGAGCCGGCTGTGCGGGAGACCAGAGTTCTAGTATTACTCAAATCAGTCTCCCTGAGCATTCGGGGATCAGAGATTTTGTTTGTTTGTTTTGAGACGGTGTCTGTTGCCCAGGCTGGAGTGCAATGGCACAATCTCCACTCCCTGCAGCCTGTGCCTCCTCAGTTCAGGTGATTCTCCTGCCTCAGTCTCTGCTCTGGAGTAGCTGGGACCACAGACATGCGCCACCACACCCGGTTAATTTTTGTGTTTTTTTAGTAGGGACAGGGGTTTCACCATGTTGGCCAGGCTGGACTCAAATTCCTGACCTCAAGTGATCCACTTGACTCAGCCTCCCAAAGTGCTAGGATTACAGGTCTGAGCCACTGCTCCAGGCTGCGGAATCAGAGTTTTTAAGGATAATTTGGTGGGTGGGGGGAAGCCAGTGAGCAAGGAGTGCTGATTGGTCAGGTAGGAGATGAAATCATGGGAAGCTGAAGCTGTCCTCTTGCATTGAGTCAGTTCCTGGGTGCGGGCCACGAGATCAGATGAGCCGGTTTATCAATCTGTGTGGTGCCAGCTGATCCATCAAGTTCAGGGTCTGCAAAATATCTCAAGCGCTGATCTTAGGAAACGTTTAGGGAAGGTCAGAATCTTGTAGCCTCCAGCTGCGTGACTGCTAAACCATAATTTCTAATCTTGTGGCTAATTTGTTAGTCCAACAAAGTCAGTCTAGTACCCAGGCAAGAGGAAGGTTTGTTTTGGGAAGGGGCTGTTATCATCTTTGTTTTACACTGTAAACTAAGTTCCTCCCAAAGTTAGTTCAGCTTACACCCAGGAAGGAACAAGGACAGCTTAAAGGTTAGAATGAAGATGGAGTTAGATCTTTTTCACTGTCTCAGTCATAATTTTGCAAAGGCGGTTTCAGCTATATATATGGCAGTAGTCTCCGAACTAGTCCTGCCGTTGCTTCTACTATACCTCAACCCTAACACATCCCTGCTCCAGTCTTTATTCTGACCAGCAGCCAGAATGATCCTTTTGAAAGGTAAACATGGCCGGGCGCAGTGGCTCATGCCACTTTGGGAGGCTGAGGCGGGTGGATCACGAGGTCGAGTACAAGACCATCCTGGCCAACATGGTGAAACCATGTCTCTACTAAAAATACAAAAATTAGCCAGGCGTGGTGGCACGCGCCTGTAGTCCCAGCTACTCAGGAGGCTGAGGCAGGAGA